AGCCGAACCCCAGGCCCGGGCCAACCTCGCCTCCATCGCCGACTCCCTCAACCGGCTCCACCTCAAGGTTGACGGGATGGGGAGCTATCTTGACCGGCTCGACGTGGCTGTTCAACGCCAAGGATACGCGATGAACTCATACTTCCAAGGCATCAACTACGTCCCCCCACCGTACCACGGCACGTTCCTTGGGCAAGTGTACGGTGACGAGGACGAAGCCGATGACTCCTATGCCCCGTCAAGCTCCCCGGATGAAGATGAGTTCGACGATGCCATTGATGGTGATGAAATGGACGTCGACGACGACGAGGAGGAATCCGAAGACGAAGACTAGGACTCCCCTAGAATTTCTATCTCTTTTACTTTAAATTATCCTGTTTTTTTAATGCTTCCGTTGTAGTCCGCTATTTCCCTTTATTAAATAAAATCATTTCATTTATCTTTTTGTTAATGTCAAAAGGGGGAAGAAAAGGGCTATGCATATACTAAGGGGGAACTTCTCTATAAACGAGACCGTTTGATTTTAATCCAACTAAATTTTTTTTAAGCACAAATTAAGGGGGAACTTTTTTTTCACAACTTTTGAAAAAAAAATATCCCTTAGTATGCATATCCCCGTCTTGTTTGCCATTATCAAAAAGGGGGAAATTGTTGGAACACGGGTTTACGCCTACGTCATACTAAACTGTGTTCGTTTTTATGATAGGTTTTGATAATGCCAAACCGCCGCGACACATCAAAGCTAAAGTGAGCAAAACTAAGGGGAAGAAACATGGCATGATGACTAGAGAACCAAGAATCAAGAACGAAGAATTAGAATTGCATTGAGTCGGTCTTAATGTGATCAAGACCGGCACAAAATTCCAAATCTTGGCTCTCTAGGCTCATTTCATAAAAATCTCTTTTACATATTCAAAAATATTTTTCTTAAGTTTTAAACTTGGCTCAAAACACTTGGAGTTCGCCCAAGCCAAAAACCAAGCCCTCCGGCGTTCGGTTTTCAGAAACCGGCGTTCGGCTTTTGGTTTTCGGCATTGGTTTTTGGCGTCCGAACAAACCCAGTGGTTTTCAACTTTTTATGACTGGTTTTTACTACTGGGCACATTTAATTAGTTCTCCAACAAAAACGCCTCAAAAACCACCTTCCGTTTTGGTCGTTTAGTGAAAACCATGCGAAACGGTGCGAACTTGGCTAGCCGTGGTTTTCAACTAAATGACGTGGTTTTCAAGATGTTTTACTTTATTTCTTAGAAAAATGCAATAAACAAATGTTTTCTAAACTTGGTTTTTATTTTGGAGAACTTGCGTTTTTGACATCGGCTAACGGCGTGACTAAACCAACCATGGGTCTGGCTAAACCAGCCCAACAACGATGTTGAGGTAATCAACAGCGCTATCTGGCTTGGGTAGCTAAAAACATGGTTTGGCGTTAAGTCTTCCAACAGCGATGTTGGACACTAGACATCGCTGTTGAGCCAAGGTTGGATTTCCAGAAACTTCTGGAACAGCGATGTAGGTTTCCCTACAGCACTGTCCAACCTAAGCCAAAAATATAGTGCATTGGCAGAAAGTTTTTGGACAGCGATGTTGACCCAGCAACAGCGCTGTCAGACCAAACTTCCATCTCCAAAGGCAGACCTAAACAGCGATGTTCTAGTATAGAACATCCATGTAGAGACCTGACCGTTGGAAGGAATTTAAGGCTAAAACTTTCCTTGTTTGGAAGTCAACAACCAAAACAGCGATGTAGGGATTCTAGACATCGCTGTTGGCATGACCGTTGCTTCCCATTTTTCAAACCGCAAGCCTAGAACAGCGATGTCCAGGCCTAGGACAGCGCTGTCTGGGTGATTTTCAACAGATCCAAATTTCATCAAATCCCACAAATTATGCCTATCACCCCTTAAATACTTTGGTCCGTTGGAGCCTATTTTTCTACTATAAAATGGGGTGTTTGGGTCTGTTTTACACATCACATTACTTCACAACTCCTACTCTTTCATTGCAAATCATTCTTCAATTTTTCATAGCTTTTGAGAGCCATTTTTGTGAAGCTTGTGTTGTGTTCTTGAGCGTTCTTAGTTTACTCATTATCCACTCTAAGAGAGAGTATTGTTCTTGAGTGTTTTTAGTATTTTGAGACACTTGACAAGAGAAGGTATTTCTCTTGTTGTTCGAAGGAAGGGCTGCTTCCTTCGAAGGTTCGTTGAGGTTCGTGTGACTCGAATTCTCAAGAGTTACGGGTTTGTTAAGCACCGTTAAGCTTAACGAGATAGTAGTGTAGCTCGAGAGAGTCTCTCAGAAGGCTGGATTAGCCACAAGTTGTGGTGAACCAGGGTAAAATCCGTGTGCATCTTTACTTCTCGTTTATTCATTTTTTATTCTTGCGATTTCTTGATCAAACGCTATTCACCCCCCCCCCCTCTAGCGTTGGTCTTTTATTCTAACAGGACGTGCATAGGGTAAGATGTATAATGGTAAGTCTAGACATATTTGTTGTAAACACAACCATTAGACAACTTCTCACCACTGAGATTATCACAGTTGACTATGTGAAGTCAAAGGATAATCTGGCATTTAGACTAACCAAAGGGTTAACAAATGAGTTGCATGAAAAGTTGGTAGTAGGAATAAGTTTGAAGCCCTTGTTCTTAGAAAGTCTTATGAAGGAAAATCAAACCTGGATGGTACCCAAGTTCAATGGGACAACCTACTTGTAGGATGAAGCGCCGTCTTTGTGGGGGTGGCACCAGTACCCTCGATCAGTCCCTTTCGTTCCTGCTTAAGACAGTGACTCACGAAAATGATAAGGTTAGCATATAAATATGATTTAAAGATTCTTGAACATTAAACATGATGGTCTAACTTGAGTAATTGGGATACTCTTAGAAGAATCACCTATTGAGAGTGATGTGTGGTCACTTCAAATGGAGGATTCAAGGCTTAATCCTCTAAACACTATCACATAACTAGGTGCGTGTCCCATGACCAAAATTAGGAACCCATGAGAACAAAACTACATTTGGTTTGAATTTGTGTATGGTATACTATCGTTTACACAAACGACATTACAGTTCAATTCAAAGTGTAACACCCGCCTTCCGACGACCCAGTTCACCCGTGACCTGACGGACTGGTAGGGTTACATGTGCGGTCCAAGAACCGTCCGTAGCGAAGAAAGCATTAATGTCTATTAATTATGAAAACGGTTGTGTTTAATTGGTGAAATAAATGCTAGGGAGTTACCCCCAAAACGTGTGTGATATAAATGCAGAGTAAAAGCGGAAGTAAATAAATAAGTCCAGTCCAAAGTAAGTAAAAATAAATGACCAAATGTTAAATTAAATGTTTATAAATATTAAACTTGTCCGTGCGCCGCCCATCTCCTCATCATCACTATCCATCAGGGTTGGCACCTATACCGTCATGTCTACTTGCGTGTAGCAAAAACAACTACACGCTCAGCAAAAGCTGAGGAGTGAATCTAACAAAAGAACATGGAGTGATAACCCATATGATTATACACATATTAATACCTGTACTTAGCGTACGAAAAACCACATATTTACTAACTGTTTAGTTTGCACCTGTTGGGGTACTATTACATATAACAAAATGATTTTCTACTACGTTGAATGTTGATGTGAAGTCGAAAATACATAATGATGATATGACTTGATGCATGGCTTAGGCCCTGTTCCGTTCAACTTATTTTTTCTTATTCTTAATAAAATCAGATCAGATCAGATCGAATCAGATCAGATCAGATCAGATCCAATCAGATCAAATCAGATCCAATCAGATCTGATCTGATCAGGACTTATTAAAATCAGATCCCATCAAAAATTATTATTATTATTATTATTATTATCATCATCATCATCATCATCATCATCATCATCATCATTATCATCATCATCATCATCATCATGATTATTATTATTATTATTATTATTATTATTATTATTATTATTATTATTATTATTATTATTATTAGTATTATTATTATTATTGCTATTATTATTATTATTATTATTATTATTATTATTATTATTGTTCTTAAAAATGAAAAAAAATAAACTTTAGAAATAGGTTAAATAGAAAACTGAGAAAGTAATCCTTAATTATTAGATGTCGGAAAAATTAGTTTTAAAATACATTGACAATGTCAATCTAATTCTACTTTTAAAATATATTTTTCTTGCTACTTTTTAATGTATATTTAAATTAAATATTTATTCTAATGTATATATGAAGTATTTATTGAAATATTAAATTAATATTCTAATTTCACAAAAAAATAATCATAAAATAAAAAATATTATTACATTATAATATGAATGATTATTCTAATATATGAATTTACTATTTTTATTTTATTAAAAAATAATCATTAAATAAAAAATATTGATTATATTATAATATAAATTATCATTACAATTTTCAAACGTTATTATAAAGTCAAATCAAATTATTGATTTGAAATTTTAAATTAAATCATAATTAATCATATAAGATTAGACCAGATCATATCCAATCAGATCAGATCAGATCCAATCAGATGAAATCAGATGAGATCCAATCAGATGAGATCCAATCAGATCAGATCCAATAAGATCAGATCAGATCAGATCAGAACTTATTAAATTCAGATCAGATCAGAAAAAATAAGTTGAACGGAACGGAGCCTTAAACTATCAGGGACACTCCTGGCTTACCCTCACTTGACAGGATCACCCCTGCACTCCGGTCATCATACCGAAACGGTGATGAGCCGGGCTCGACGTAAATGTCGCAAGTGGACTAGCAAAACTAGGTAGTAGTCGTAACCTGACTACTATGTACGTACACAAAGCCCACCTGATGAAAACCCGTTGGATCCCAAAGGTTCCTCGACGGGCCCACTATAATATGCGCACGAAAGCCTGACCTCCCTATAGTTGTATGCACATGATGATAGACCTAGGACATGCGTCTAGAATGAACATGATGAATGCTTGATATATTTACCTTTGGTCAACGCCAAGAATATATCAATTAAATAACATATATAATGAAGATTAACATTTCATGCAAACATACAATCAGATTCGGGCTCGTTCTACAAACTGCCCAAAATTCTGCCCGCGGAACGGTCGACCATGGGCTATGGTCGGGGGCTGGGTCATAAACGGTCCACCGTCTCGGCCGGCGGTCGACCGTCACGGTGGTGACTGTCAGAATGGCCGAGGGAACGGTCCACCGTCCGTAGCGGCGGTCGACCGTCCTGAAGACAGTCATCTGTCCTTGGCTTCGTTTTGATCCCTTTTGAAAACTTAACACCTTGATTCTTTTTAGAACGATATTACAAACATTGTTGAATATATTCCTAGTGATTCCTAGGCCAATATTTATAGGTTTACGTGGTGAACGTTTTTGATGGTTAACCTACGAACATGCATAGATTCTACGTAGGTTGCGTACGATATTCCTATGAATATAACGACATAGGTTATAAATAAATGTTCTAAAATTAGAGGGGACAACTACTCACCCCTAAATGAAGGGATTGACGAAATGATGAAACGAGATGAACGAACGGTTGACAACGTTGAACAACGAATGGTTTCTCGTGGACACCTCCTTCTCTTCTTCCTCCTCGTCTACTCACCGGAACCGTCTCCGTGGGCTGCTACTGCTTGGCCGAACAAGAGAAGGGAGAAGGGAGTTGAGTGTGTTAGTGGAGGTTACAAAATGTGATGGGGAAGTGAAGAGAGAAGGGAGGGGGGTTTAAATGGAGGACATTAATGGGGAATTATTGGGTTACTAATGACGAATTAAAGGGAGAGGAGTTATGGGAGGTGAAGGGTGTGGCGTGTGGAGTGGGAATGGGAGTTACTTCCCATAAATTCTATTCCGTTATGTAAAATCTGACCCGAATAGTACGCGGGTTTTCCCCGAACGGGTCCGAATTGAGATCCATTTGTGTTTCCGGAATCAGATAGTCAAAACGAACTTAATGACATGTTCAAATAATTTTTCTAAGAACTTTTATTTTCCCCAACTTCCGGATCCATGCGAATCATTAATTAATTTATTTACTTAATTAATGTCGAGAGACCCGTTATTAAAACATCTTTTATAATTAAAATACATTAGCTTTGGAAAGCCATTTATTGAGATTGAAATCTAAATATTTATTATTAAAAATAATGAGTCTCAATAAATAAATTATATTTATTTATTTAAAATATTGGCTAGCTATTAGGCCAGTTTGTAGGGCGTTACACAAAGACATCAGTTTCGACTGAACAACTAGTAAAGAAGGCATACCTTACAAGGGACAGATTCAAAAGTGGTGTCACTTACCTGTTCTTTTCTTGTTTTCAATTGTGGCATGTTGTCGACCCCCAACCCCCCTTATCAAATTTTCATTCATGTGTGGGATTTTTGGAATATTTGGCATTTTAATATGCATTAAATGGATCAATTTGGGTATGTTTATCAATAGGTCCACTAACAGTTTTAACCATTAACTAATGGACGTAATTCTCTTAAATGACATAAATGTTTTGATAACTTATATGCTAAAAATGGTAGAGGGTGAATCAGAAAATTCTCATAATTAACTCGTTAATAGAAGAATATGGAAAGAATTGCAATAATTTTAGAAGTTCTAGCAAACCAATCTTCAATTATTATATTTTATGTGGTTTTTAAAATTAGCCCAATTTTACAGAGTCAACTTACCATTAATCTCCAATTAAATGGGATAATTTCTTAAATATAAACGTGTGTAACATCCATTTTAATGGTGAGACATTAATATGCAACCAATAAATTAAAGAATGTGGCGGATACTTATTACACCACCAATGATATTAATGGGTATCAGTGGGTACTTAATACATACGTTACATTTGGTTTTGCCTATTAAAATACATTGGAGCATCTCTCGTATTCTGAATATAGTTCATGCGATAGTGTGTGGTTGGTGCATACAATCATCACACACCATAGTGTTTTTATTCTAGGAGGAGAATGTCCATGTTTTCTGGTACGGTAGGAGGGGAGGGTACTACTACCTTAATGACCGCTCTACAGACTCCGCTACCCTTCCTCAGTGTTTATCTTTTATCTTTTGTAGGTTCTGTTCACAATGACCTCACTGCATTCTTCCCTAGACCATAATATTCTAGATGGTGTTCTGGTTCTATCCATATAGTCCTCGCTGCTACTCTAGTGGCATGGCCACTACTCACTGTGTGCTCGCCTCAGGCTTACTACTCAGTCTAGTAAGTCCAGTGCATAATTTCCTCGTACAGCGAGGCCTTATGAAGATCCAGAAACTATTTTCTAGATTTGTTTATTTTGTAATATTCTAAATAAATTATATATAAATTCAAAATTTTATCTAATATAATTATTTTTGGCTGTTCATCTCCCCTATCCATTGTAATCCGTACGAGCATTTATTGTAACATCTAGACCCTTTCAACAATTGACTATCACCTTCTGGTGAATCGATTGTCAACCATTATGTCAAAACGTGACCAGCAATCAATTGTCAACTTTTCACAATCGTTTGTCAACCTAGAAAATCCTGACCAATCTTTTTATATTGCTTATTTATTGTTTGATTGATTCCCAATCAATGAGCAACGATCACAAACCTTTTTAGCCAATAAATTGAGGCATTTTTCTTTGGTTTTGAGTGAACCACTTCTCTCATTCTTTATAACTTTTTCATATCATTTGTGCATCAAATCTAAAGCTTTTAGCTTGTTGAGACATTTGAGAGATTAATTTTTGTTGTTCACAGAGCTTATATTGTATCTTTTCTTCTTCTCTAAAAGAGAGTTCAATTTGCAAATAGATGATCTAAGATCAATTCTTCTCGTTGAGCGTTTAGTTTGCTAATTAAGAACCTGTAATCTTATTAGTGGTTGATGTCTTGGGCGAGCTTTTCAAGCGGCGTGTAGTCTTGTAGAAGAGACATTTACAAGCACTTGTAATGGTTTCTTTGTTGGCTTTTGGGCTCACTTCTTATGTGGAGGCCCAAGTAAAGCCCAATTCTTCACAAGCCCACTCTTTGATGAAATAAGAGGTTAACAAGAGGTTGAATTAGGGTGGCGAGTAGAAAACGAGAGAGAGAGCAGAAAAATCGAGAGAGAGAAGGAAGCTGTTCATTTTTCAGATTTCTGTGTGCAGCGTTTTTCGGACTGATGTTTGGAGGGTCAAACAGTGTCCGATTGCTCTGCAATTTTAGGGGCAGGTTCGGGACACATTGAACTTGATTTCCACTGGTCAGTTTTGGATTTGAAGGTCTGCAGGCAGAGATATTTGCATCTGAACAGAGGCAGTATTTTCTGGTTTTTTCTGCGTATTCTCTAGTTGTTTGCTCCTTGTTGTGGCATTATATTTGCAGTATCTTTATACTGATTTCAGCCCTTGTTTGAGACACTCTTGTACCCTATTTCTGGTCATATTGGAGCTTGCTTGGTGGTCTCTGTGACCCATGGTTTTTACCCTCGATTTGAGGGGTTTTCCACGTAAAAATTCTGGTGCATCGTGTCTTTATTGTTTGTGCTTATTTGCTATTAGCTTGTTGCTGTTTTTGATCCTCTTACTCTTGCAAGTGGGGAATTAGTTTTTGGTGTGGTTGTATTCTCTTCTTAATTCCCATTAGAGTGGTATCGCAGCTTTGTGTTCAGTTACTATAGTGTTGTTGTGCTATATTCTTGTTTGAGTGATGGAGACAAATACAAGACGGATGATTAGTTTGGATGGCACAAATTATCATATATGGAAAGGAAAAATGGAAGACCTCTTGTATGTGAAAGATATGGATTTGCCTGTTTTTTTCTATTGAGAAGCCAGCATCAAAATCTGAAGAGGAATGGAAGCGTGATCACTGACAAGTTTGTAGCTTTATTAGACAATATGTGGGTGATAATGTTTATGGTCTGATTGCAAATGAAACACATTTCAGGTCACTTTGGGAGAAACTCGAGTCCATGTATGCATCCAAATCTGGTAATAACAAGTTGAGTAAATTCTATAATTGGTCCTTTATAACAGGGGGGTTTCCATATTTAGTCCTCTATTATCAAATATTACCCCCGTACTCCTTTGTTTAAGGGTGCCTTTCCACAAATGGTCCTTTTTTTGATCTTCTGGCATGTTGATATTAATTTAAAGGCTAAAAGTATAATTTGACGTCAACATTATGTTTAGTGACATATTCTGATATTGGTTAAGCGGATAACATAAAAATAATGACTATGATTGTGGGCTAGGATTCCGACGAAAGACCACATTTGTAGACTATGGTTGTAGTAGAAAGCGACTGTAATTCACAAATGATGGAAACGGAATAGCCTTTGGAATTGTGTATGACAAAAAATATATATTATCATTGCGAAATTACACTTTTAGCCCTCAAATTAACCCCAACATGATAGAAGATCAAAAAAGGGACTATTTGTGGAAAGATACACATAAAAGAAGGACCACTGGTGTAATATCTGATAATAGAGGACTAAACTGAGAAACCCCCCTGTTATAAAGGACCAATTATGGAATTTAGTCTAACAAGTTGTACTTGTTGAAGTCTTTGATGAACTTGTCTTATAAAGAAACAACTCCTTTGTTGGATCACTTGAATGCATTTCATGGTATTTTAGATGAGTTATCTGGTGTTGGTATAAAGCTTGAGGATGAACTAGCTGCTCTTTGGTTGCTAAACACTTTGCCTGAATCTGGGGAGATATTTAGGGTCTCAATTATCAATTCTGCCCCGGATGGTATTGTATCCTTGCAAACTATAAACCAGCTATGCTTAATGAGGAGATGAGAAGGAAGGTGCAAGGTTCTTCATCTCAATCAGAGGTGTTAGTTGCAGAACATATGGGGAGGAATGCTAACCGAGATCAAAGAGGCAGAGGGAAATCCAGAAGCAAGTCCAAGTCCAGATATAAGAATGTTGAGTATCATTATTGTCACAATACAGGACACATCAAGAAAAATTGCTTCAAGTGAAAAAGAGATAACAAGCCTAAAGGCAAGAATGAGAAAAAGGATGAAGGTGCTGACCGTGTTTCTACTGCTGATCTTGTTGATGATTTGATCTTTGTCACCGATGCAGATGTGGTTAATGCAGTGTTAGATGACCAGAGCTGGGTTATTGATAGTGGTGCTATGTTGCATGTGACTCCAAGGAAGAAATTCTTCACATCCTTAAAGGCTGGCAGTTTTGGCAAATTGAAAATGGGCAATGATGCAGTTGTAGAGGTTGTTGGTATTGGAGATGTCTGCTTAGTGACTCAGATGGGTACTAAGTTGCTCCTAAAAGATGTTAGGTATGCTCCTGATGTTCGCTTGAATCTTATTTCTGTTCATAGACTTGATGATGAAGGTTATGAAAACCATTTTGGTGGTGGAAAATGGAAGCTTAAAAGGGGAAATCTGGTAGTGGCTCGTGGCAAAAAGGAGTCCAAGCTGTATCGATTGGAAAGTGTGCTCTCTCGTGATGTGAATGTTATAGAAAGTTCAAAAGCATCACATTTGTGGCATCGTAGGCTCAGTCATATTAGTGAGAAGGGGTTGAATCTTTTGGCTAAGAAAGATGTACTGCCTGGTTTGAAGAATGCAGAATTGGAGAAGTGTTATCACTTCTTGGCAGGAAAACAAAGCAGAATATCCTTCAAGAAGCATCCTTCTTCGAGACGTGCTGAGTTACTTGAGTTGGTACATTCTGATGTGTGTGGACCTTTGAAGGTGAGATCATGGGGTGGTGCTTATTACTTCGTGACATTCATTGATGATCATTCCAGGAAACTTTGGGTCTATCCTATGCTTTGAAGACCAAAGATCAAGTCCTTGATAAGTTTAAAGAATTGCATGCATTAGTTGAGAGACAATGTGGAAGGAAACTGAAGTGTGTCCGTTCTGACAACGGGGGAGAGTATAGTGGACCTTTTGATGAGTATTGTAGGAAGCATGGTATTAGACATGAGAAGACCCCTCCAAAGACTCCTCAGTTGAATGGCGTGGCAGAAAGAATGAACAGAATATTACTTGAGAGAGTTAGAGGCTTGCTTTCTGAAGCTAAGCTACCTCAGCTCGAATGTTCTAGGGAGAGGCGTTGTACACTGTGGCACATGTGATTAATCTTAGCCCCGTTGTTGTCCTTGATGGTGATGTCCCTGATAGAGGTTTGGAAAGAATATTTCCTATGACCACTTGAGGATGTTCGGCTGCAAGGCATTTGTGCATGTTCTAAAAGATGAGAGGTCAAAGCTTGATGCAAAGACCAGATAGTGTTTATTTCTTGGCTATGGTGGTGATGAATTTGGTTACAGATTGTATGATCCAGTGGAGAAGAAATTGGTTAGAAGCCGTGATGTGGTATTCATGAAAAACCAAACCATTGAAGATATTGATAACGCGAGGAGAGCAAATCCCATAGATAGCTATGAGCTTATTGATGTAGAACCGGTTAGAGCTACTCTAGAACCTGAGATACTGCTTGAAAATGTTGATACGGATGCTGGTCAACCACATGGAGATGAGCTACATGTTCCCAGTGTAAATGGTGAAATGCAATCAGAGGAACCTCAAGATGAGGTTGTAGATCCACCTCAAGTCCCCCTTAGAAGATCTACCAGGGAGAGACATCCATCCTCTACATATTCTCCAAATGAATATGTGACCTTGACTGATGGGGGAGAACCGGAGAATTTTCAAGAACCCATGGAGTGTGAAGATAAAGATGAATGGTTTCACGCCATGGAAGATGAAATCGAATCACTACATGAAAACCACACTTTTGATGTAGTGAAGTTGCCTAAGGGCAAGAAAGCTCTCAAGAACCGATGGGTTTGCAGGTTGAAACATGAAGAAAATTTTTCATCTCTGAGATATAAAGCCAGATTAGTGGTGAAAGGGTTCAATCAGAGAAAAGGGATTGACTTTGATGAAGTTTTCTCACTTGTAGTGAGGATGACATCCATAAGAACAGTGCTGGGTTTGGCTGCTACTCTTGATTTGGAAGTTGACCAGATGGATGTAAAAACTGCATTTCTCCATGGTGATTAGAAGGAAGAAATATATATGGAGCAACCCAAAGGGTTCAAGGTGAAAGGTAAGGAAGACCATGTGTGTCGGCTAAAGAAAAGCCTTTATGGCTTGAAGCAAGCTCCAAGGCAATGGTACAAGCTAGAAGTTTGAATCTATCATGAAAAAACAAGGCTATAAGAAGACATCTTGTGATCATTGTGGATTTGTGAAAAGGTTTGCAAGTGATGATTTTATCATTTTGTTGTTATATGTTGATGATATGTTAATTGTCGGGAAAGATATTTCCGAGATTGACAGGTTGAAAAAGCAATTATGCAACTCATTTGCCATGAAAGACCTTGGACCAGCTAAGCAAATACTTGGTATAAGTATTGCGCGTGATAGAAAATAGAAGAAGCTTTGGCTTTCTCAACAAAAATATATTGACAAGGTGTTGGACAGATTTAATATGAAGGCTGCAAAATCAGTGAGCACTCCTTTGGCTACTCATTTCAAACTGAGCAAGAATCAGAGTCCATCTTGCGAGGCCGAGAAGCTTGATATGATGAACGTTCCATATGCATCTGCGATGGGTAGTATGATGTATGCCATGGTATGTACAAGACTTGATATTGCACATGCTGTTGGCGTTGTTAGTAGATTTCTTTCCAATCTAGGTAGAGAGCATTGGAATGCGGTAAAATGGATTTTGAGGTATCTTAAGGGTACTTCTACTGTGAAACTTTGTTTTGGTGGGGAGAAACCTTTACTTGTTGGTTATTGTGATTCTGATATGGCTGGAGATGTTGATTCTAGAAGATCTACTTCAGGTTATTTGATTAAGCTTGCGGGAGGTACTATTTCTTGGCAGTCCAGATTGCAAAAGTTTGTTGCCTTGTCCACTACAGAGGCAGAGTTTATTGCAATTACTGAAGCGTGCAAGGAAATGCTGTGGTTCAAGAGATTCTTAAGAGAACTTGGCTTTACACAAGAGAGGTATAAACTACTTTGTGATAACAAAGTGCTTTACATCTTGCTAAGAATCAAACTTTCCATTCACGCTCAAAACACATCGATGTGAGGTATCACTGGATACGTGATGTATTGGATGTCAAGCTGTTGGAGTTAGGCAGTCACTACAAAAAAAACTGCTCAAATGGCGACGGAAAGTTTCCTTCGCTAAGCTTAACAACAGAAATAGCGACGGAATATGCATTTTGACCATATAGCGACGGAAATGACATTCCGTCGCCAATTTGACAAGTCACAACCAGGAAGCTGCTGTTTTTCCAATTTTGCACACATCCATAGCAAAGCTCAGAAATCCCAGCATCAAACAACAACAATTACTTGAAATGAAGATTACCAAACAACCAAGAATATTCAAGTCACCAATGTACAATTAAATTTCAAATAATATTTATAAAAATTCAACATAACAATCAAATCTAACTCCACTTACATAACCATAAAACTTAAGTTTAATATATTGTTCTTCAAATCTAATAAAGCACTCAACAAGCCCCTGCAAACCCCGCCCCTCCTCCATCTCCACCGCCATCTCCATTTCCATGTGGGAAAACTCCTCCATAAAGTCGGGTCATCTGTTCTCTAATCGACAATAATTCACGCGCTTGGGAAGTTCTAATTTCATCTAGCTCTTCTCTCAACCTCTGAATCTCATCATCTCGAGGGTCCCACATAGAGCTGGTGCTAGCACGTCTTGCCTCACTTGCATGCATTCGTGGTAGGCTCCGTGCGAGATCTCCAACACCATGAACACGATTCTTGGCATCATGTCCTCCGACTGTAGATAGAAAAATCTCGTGAGGTGTCACATTTAAGCCTTCTTCACGAACTGCCTCCTGCATGGCTACGTAGTTTTGCTGCAATACACAAAACACACATGTATATATACTTTGTAACATAAAAAGCAAAATAAAATTAGCAGTATGAATTCACATTCAATTGAATCCAACGAAAACTAATCATTTATATATACATTATATATATTCTTCTGCCTTCTTATTGACGTAGGTCTTCCCATCATGTTTCTTCGTATGTGTGTGTGTACGAAGAGTACAAGTCAGAAGCCTTTCCACTTTTACCATAAAAAATTTAAATATATAAATAAGTGAAAATACGTCACTTAGAACATTTAAATATAATTTTTGTTACTAACAATACTTACAAGGTGCGCTTGACTCTCGCGAAAAGACAATGGACGTGTGGCGCTAGCAGGGGCATTCTCATCACCGCCACGCCAATTTTTCTTGTTTTGCTTGGAGGATGCCAAGAACTTTGGTGACTTCCAATACTGTTTAACAACATATAGATACAAGAATACAAATATATACACACAATTTGATGCTAAGTATAACATAACTTATCAATTCAAAAGATATTTAGAAATACCTCCTTCCACAATTGCGGTATAAGTGGCTGCACCTTCTCTGTTCCTTTCTTCTCATTCCTAATAGATGAGAGCCAATCGGTGTATCGTCTTCTAGCCTTCGATCGCCAAGCACGGAACATAACGATATCATCTGTTCCTTTCTTCTCATTCCTATAAGTGGCATGTTTCTAAATTTAAAAAAAGAAGTTAGACCGGACATGCTAGAAAATATCTTAAATTAAATACAAAATATACAAAGCATACATTTGATATTTGTATCTAACCAAATTTTACCTGAAACTCTCTCTAGTAAAAGTCCACAGTCGTATCAGTTTGTAAAAGTCCACAGTCGCCCAAACCAAAAACCAAGCCATCTGGCGTTCGGCTTTCAGAAACCGGCGTTCAGCATTCAGTTTTCGGTGTTGGGTTTTGGCGTCCGAACCAACCAAGTGGTTTTCAAAATTTTATGATTGGTTTTTACTTCTGGGCACATTTAAATAGTTTTCCATCAAAAACACTTCAAAAACCACCTTTCGTTTTTGTCGTTTGATAAAAACCATGCAAAAACGGCATAAACTTGGCTAGCCGCGGTTTTTAGTTAAATGAAGTGGTTTCGAGTCTTTTTGTTTGGGAATTGTTTTTGAATGCATTAAAATGGTTCTCCAATCAAAACATCATGAAAACCACCTTTCGGTTTTGTCTTTTGGTAAAAACCACCCGTGTACGGCGTTGACTTGGTCAACCGTGGTTTTTACCTTAACGACGTGGTTTTCAACTTACAAAGCTTGTTTTGACATCACAATACGTTAAATAATTGTTTTAAATACTTAGTTTTTACTTTGGAGAACTTTGCATTTTTCGGTCAAGTTTCAGCTCCGGTCAGCTAGGCCATGGTTCTGGGCTAGCCATCTACCCAGCGATTGTAGATATCACCCATCCATGGGTAAGTGATCCCGAGATTCCAGAATCATGCCACCCAGCGATGGGAGATATTACCCAGCGATGGGTAAGAAGCCTTCAACCCAATTGAATTCCAGAACCATGCCAAACAGCAATGGGAAACTCTACCCATCGTTGTTCAAGCCTTGGTCCAATATAATCACAAGGCAGAATGTCCTCACCCAGCGATGGGAGGATATTACCCAGCCATGGGAAGGCATGACCGTTGGAAGTCATTTAAGGTTGATTCTTTCCTTGTTTGGAAGTCAACCTCCCACCCAGCGATGGGAAGCTTGTACCCATCGATGGGTAGGTGACCGTTGGCTTCAAAACTAAAGGAAAATTGGCTTACTAGCGATGGTTGAGTCTAAACATCGATGGGAAGTTAATATCCTGCAGATCCCAAATTTATTCAATCCCATAAATCAAGCCAATCACCCCTTTAATGTATTGGTCCGTTAGAGCCTATTTTGGCGCTATAAAAAGGGGTGTTTGGGTCTGCTTTTCTCATCAATTCACTTCACATTATTCATATTATCATTGCATTCAAACAACATCATTTTCCATAGCTTTCTAGAGCCAATTTGTGTGAAGTTTGAGTTGTTCTTGAGCATACTTATTTTACTCATCATCTACTCTTAAAGAGAGTCTTGTTCTTGAGTGTTTAGTGTTGTATACACGTTAAGGGAAGCTTGTTTCCCTTGGTTGTACGAAGGAAATGTATTTTCCTTCGGGTTGAAGTCTTGGAGTGCGGTATCTCCGAGCAAGTGTTGTTGAGGCTCGTGGGACTCGAGTTCTCAGGTTGTAACAGTTTGTTAAGCACCCGTAAGCTTAACGGAAGTAGTGTAGCTCGAGAGAGTCTCTCAAGAGACTGGATTAGCCACACGTTGTGGTGAACCAGTATAAATCTTGGTGTGCTCCCTTTACGCTTTCTACGCTCTTTACTTTTCACGTTCTTAATTTTTTATTCCTGCGATTTCTACGATCAAACGCTATTCACCCCCCCCTCTAGCGTTGGTCACTCATTCTAACAATTGGTATCAGAGCCTAACTCGCGTCCAAACTTAACCGTTTGAGAGAAAAGCAATCATGGGTTCTTCTTCTAGAAATTTCTACGCAGGAATATGTGAAGGGCAATCATCTACACGGCCACCTCTTTTTGATGGAACCAATTATACATATTTGAAAGAACGAATGAGAATCTATATTCGTTCCACGAACTTGCAATTATGGTTGGTTATCAAAAACAGGGAAGAGGTGCTGATGAAGAAAGTCGGAGACAAGTTGATCCCCAAGACCGAAGATGAATTTGATACCGAGGACATCAAAAAGGTCGAAAATTATGCAAAGGCAATAAACATGCTCTATTGTGCCGTAAATCCTGATGACTACCGCAAGATCTCTTGCTGCTGAACCGCCAAGGAGATGTGGGATAAGCTCGAGGTGACGTACGAAGGGACAGACCAAGTACGTGAAGCCAAGATCGACTTCCTCACCCAAGAGTATGAGATGTTTAGGATGAAGGAGTACGAGAAAATTGACGACATGTTCGACCGATTTTCCAAGATAGTCAACGATCTTCATGCATTAAAGAAGACTCACACCGACAGGGATCTTGTGCGAAAGATCCTACGGAGCTTGACATCCGAATGGCGATCCAAGGCCGATGCCATCTATGAGTCAATCGGCACATCAAATGTCACCATCGACGGTTTAAGAGGTAATTTAAAAACTTATGAATCTACTATACTTAACTTGTCTTTGAATGACCAAAGGAAAGGCATAGCATTAAAAGCCTTCAAAGAACCAACGATGAATGACTCAAGTGACGATGATGAAGTCAAGCTTGTCATGAAGAAGTTTTGCAAACTTCTAAGGAAGAAAGAAAAGGTTGAGGATGGCCCTGTGTGCTATGGATGTGGTGAAGCCGGGCACATCAAGAACAAATGCCCAAGAAGCGGAAGGAATGCTTGTCACTTCAAAAAGCAAAGAGCATACATCTCTTGGGGTGGCGACTCCGGCGATGAGTCAAGCGAGCAAGAGGAAGACGAAGAAGCAAACCTTTGTCTCATAGCTCAAGAAAAAGAGGAGTCCGCCAACGACGAAAACCAAGAGGTATATAATTCTTCTACTGTTTCTTATTCTCTTGAAGAAATGCAAGAAGCTCTCCAAGAGCTTTATGACGAGTTTGTTAGCGCTTCTAAAACCAGCAAAGCTTTAAGGAAACGTTTTTCTAATCTTGAAACTGACCTTGAAAAACTTCAAAAGGAAAACGAAAAACTAAAAGAGAAAAATAAGTTTTATGGTAAAAGAAGCGTCAACAAACCCGAGAGCTCTAAGAAAAATTGTGACACTTGCATAGCTTTGAAAGAACAAGTCACAAAACTGGAGAGTACAGTTAAGAAATTTAATACTCCGCACAAAGATCTTAATTTACTCCTTGACACTATGCACTTTTCTAAAGAAGGAATAGATTTTAATAAAAACGAAGCTAAGGATAAAGAAAATGTTGAGCAAACACCTAGACAACCTCCTAAGGCTCAACGTAAAAAAGCTAAAAATCAAGTTAATAGAGAACCTAGTCAATATAAGAACACTAGACAACCTAGACAAAAACCTAGGAATGAAAACGTTCATGGTAGACAACCTAAGAAAAATTATCAAAATGATTTGGTGCATAAAAATAATTTTTCTCAAAATAGAAGAGACACTATGAGAACACCTAGAAATGATCCTTTTGAAAACATGCATAAACCATCCTTTTCTCAAAATAGGACGAACATGGTTAGGCCCCCTAGCTATTATCAACCTAGGCATATGTTCAACCTAAATGTAGTATGCCATTATTGCAATAGGGTAGGACATATAGCTCCCGTGTGTTTTACCAGACATAGGCACTTCACCTATAATGAAACACACAACATATTTGGTGCTAACGAAAAGAAATCCTTTGGAAAAGGATATTCGTATCATAAACAATCTCCACAGGATAATGCACAAAAGAAACCTTACTATTTCTCCTACTTTGACAAAGAAAAGAAAGTCCACATTCTGTTACCGGAACCAACACAAATCACACCGAGATATCGGCACTCTGTTCAAGTAGACTGGAACCCGCCAACCACAAGATCATGGGTTGGCCAAGGCAATTCCTAAACGATCATCTAATCGTGTGTGTGTGTGTGTGTGTGTGTAAGGAAACGAATTTTGGGTGTGTGTGGGCAATAAAGGTTAACTAACCCCCAAGGACCCATAGACATACTTTGGGTAACAAAGTGTTGCTTTTTTGCAGGTACGTATCGAAGTGAGGAACTCAGGGGGAACCAGCGATGGGTTGTTTATCCCATCGCTGGGAAGGAAGTATTTTCTAACGAGCAGCCCTCTTCCCATCGATGGGAACTTCTTCCCATCGTTGGGTTTTTGACACTTTTTTTAAAAAATTTTTTTAACGGATTTCCAGTAGCTGTCTTCCCATGGATGGGAGAACCTTACCATCGCTGGGAAGCCTGTTGCAATTCAAAAATCATAGCCGTTGGGCACCTCATTCAATGCCCAACAGCCATATTGTTGAACACCAAGGGCCCAAATTCTCTTTTCCTATAAATATTAACCATCCTTGGTCATTTTTAACACACAATTTACATTCATTGTGCATACTTTAAGCCTCTACTCAATTTCTAAACGCTTCAACGATGGCCGGCGGAAAGTTGAGGACCAAAACCGAGGCTTCAAAGAAGAAGTCCAACACCGACTCCACGACCTCTTCTTTATTTTCTCCTTATTAAATATGATTGAATTTTTATCCGTTGTATTCTGCATTTCCCTTTTAATGAATAAAAGTTTACTTTTAATTCTTTTTGTTAATGTCAAAAGGGGGAAGATATAAAGGTAATGCATAGATTGAGGGGGAACTTTTTCTAAAACTAACTCTTATTCAACACATAAACTTTGTTGAAAAGAAAATTGCATTTATTAAGGGGGAACATTTTTTAAGTCTCAAATCAATCCTCCTATGCATAACCCCGTCTTGTTTGCCATTATCAAAAAGGGGGAAATTGTTGAAACACGGGTTTATCACGTTTTTGTACTAAAGCCGAGTTCGTTTTTATGATAGGTTTTGATAATGCCAAACTGCCGTGAACGAGACAAGTTGTTGAATAAACAAGGAGAGAAATAAATATAAGAATAAAGCAAGAGAACAAGAGCTAAAAGAGACCAAGAACGAAGACCGTAGTCTTTAGCGTCGTTGAGTCGGTCACAATGTGATCAAGACCGACCCAAGCTTTACACTTTGGCTCTTTAGGCTAAAATTATTTTCATTGCATTTCACACATCATAAAAATGTTTTTCAAACATGTTTAAAACATTAAAAACACTTGGTGGTCGCCCAAACAAAAACCAAGCCATCCGGCATTCGGCTTTCAGAAACCGGCGTTCAGCATTCAGTTTTCGGCGTTGGTTTTTGGTGTCCGAACCAACCAAGTGGTTTTCAACATTTTATGATTTGTTTTTACTTCTGGGCACATTTAAATAGTTTTCCATTAAAAAAACTTCAAAAACCACCTTTCGTTTTTTGTCGTTTGATAAAAACCATGCGAAACGGCATAAACATGGCTAGCCGCGGTTTTTACTTAAATGAAGTGGTTTCGAGTCTTTTTGTTTGGAAATTGTTTTTGAATGAATTTAAATGGTTCTCCAATCAAAACATCATGAAAACCACCTTTCGGTTTTGTCTTTTGGTAAAAACCACCCGTGTACGGCGTTGACTTGGTCAACCATGGCTTTTACCTTAACAACGTGGTTTTCAACTTAAAAAGTTTGTTTTGACATCACAATACGTTAAATAAGTGTTTTAAATACTTAATTTCACTTTGGAGAACTTTGCATTTTTCGGTCGGGTTTCAGCTCTGGTCAGCTAGGCCATGGTTCTGGGCTAGCCATCTACCCACCGATGGTAGATATCACCCATCTATGAGTAATTGATCCCGGGATTCTAGAATCATGCCACCCAGCGATGGGAGATATTACCCAGCGATGGGTAAGCAGCCTTCAACCCAATTGAATTCCAGAACCATGCCAAACAGCGATGGGAAACTCTACCCATCGCTGTTCAAGCCTTGGTCCAATATAATCACAAGGCAGAATGTCCTCACCCAGCGATGGGAGGATATTACCCAGCCATGGGAAGGCATGACCGTTGGAAGTCATTTAAGGTTGATTCTTTCCTTGTTTGGAAGTCAACCTCCCACCCAGCGATGGGAATCTTGAACCCATCGATGGGTAGGTGACCGTCAGCTTCAAAACTAAAGGAAAATTGGCTTACCAGCGATGGTTGAGTCTAAACATCGATGGGAAGCCAATATCCTGCAGATCCCAAATTTATTCAATCCCATAAATATAACCAATCACCCCTTTAATGTATTTGTCCGTTAGAGCCTATTTTGGCACTATAAAAAGGGGTGTTTGGGTATGCTTTTCTCATCAATTCACTTCACATTATTCATATTATCATTGAATTCAAACAACATCATTTTCCATAGCTTTCTAGAGCCAATTTGTGTGAAGTTTGAGTTGTTCTTGAGCGTACTTATTTTACTCATCATCTACTCTTAAAGAGAGTCTTGTTCTTGAGTTTTTAGTGTTGTATACATGTTAAGGGAAGCTTGTTTCCCTTGGTTGTACGAAGGAAAGGTATTTTCCTTCGGGTTGAAGTCTTGGAGTGCGGTATCTCTAAGCAAGTGTTGTTGAGGCTCGTGGGACTCGAGTTCTCAGGTTGTAACGGTTTGTTAAGCACCCGTAAGCTTAACGGAAGTAGTGTAGCTCGAGAGAGTCTCTCGAGAGACTGGATTAGCCACACGTTGTGGTGAACCAGTAAAAATCTTGGTGTGCTCCCTTTACGCTTTCTACTCTCTTTACTTTTCACATTCTTAATTTTTTATTCCTGCGATTTCTATGATCAAACGCTATTCAGCCCCCCTCTAGCGTTGGTCACTTATTCTAACACCTGATGCACTCGCAGATGCGCTGGCCGATGTGCCGCTTGATCTACCACCACCAAGGATGGCATGCCGCAACCTAGAAAGTTCTTTCCACTTCCCAGTATTGGACTTTGTTTGCTCTGCGTGACCCTTACCCTTATCTCCACCAGCCATCTGCAAAGAAGAGTAATTAAGGATTAGTAAAACAGTTAATAATATGTATACAATAATATATTTGTTCAACCACCTTTTGTATTAAAGTCTATTTTATGATAATTCATCATCAGACATGAACACATATTCGCTAGAGCTCTCATCAGTAGTAATTAATATCTCAACATCATCACTTTCTTCATTCTCACTATCATCGAGAGTTGGGACATTTTAGTGCAACCTTTCCATAAGTCGGTATCAGCGGCTTTTAGCATGTCAAAAAAAAATTTGTCACTAGCATTTGGTTCCTCCTGAACTGGAACGTTAGGATTAAAGGAAGGCCCCGCAGCATCAATCACCATATTCATGTATTCTGCCCTTTCGGTTTCAACAAAGGTACGAGCAGATTTACGGCGCCGATCATGGCTTGTATAGTCACCATGTTCCTCCCCGTGGCAAACCCAATCAAAATATTTAGGAGTGAAACATTTTCTCAGTACATGAAGCTTAATGTTCTCGATATCTTTAAAATATTTTATCTTACAAATCTTACAAGGACAACGCATCTGCCCGTTGAATCTGTCTACTTTTGGATTTGACTCACAAAACTCAATGAATTGTCTAACTTTGTCAACCCAGTCTGTATTTATAAAACCTGAGCTATCAAGTCTTTTATACATCCAATCTCGATTTTCGTGAAAGTCACTCATTCTGAGAAATGCAAACAAATAAATAAAATTAACATACTATTAAGTTATACAATTCATTACAAACAAACATAAAAATATAATATAAAAAATATAATATAAATGGATCCGAACAACTACAATATTCAACAACGTAACATACACAATACTGAAATGTTGAAGAATTGTGTGTTAAAAGAGAGGATTTGGGTGCCATTTTATAGCCCAAAATGGGATAAATCCGTTGCTAGAATTTCCAACAGGATGAAGACAAATTTTTCAGGAACACGGGCTGATAGTCGATTGTCTAAGCATGATAATCGATTATCCAAATATTCTCTGTCCAAAAATTTAAAATTCTATCCGTTGGAGGACAACGGTAACCCAGATAATCGATTGTCAACAAGTGATAATCGATTATTCGTCCTCTCAGGAGATTCTGGGTTTTGGCTGCAAAGACTGATAATCGATTATTGCAAAGCTGATAATCGATTATTGCGTGCTTCATAACTTTGGAAGTTCAAAGCTGCAGGGGCTGATAGTCGATTGTCACTAAGGTGATAATCGATTATCACCCAGCTAAAGTCTAGCCAGCTGAAACCCGTTTTGAAAAACCGAGGTCCAAAAACGAAGTGTTTCCAAAAGTAAAAACCAGGTTTGGAAAATATTGTATATGGTATTAAATAGTGAAAACATGACTTGTTTGGTAAAAACCAAGTCTCCAAGGTCGTATAATACGTACGTACGGTTTAGACCGTTTTTCACGTATTAGACCGATTGACCAAGATACAAAAGTGGTTTTTATAAAATAATTATTTGGAAACATTTTAAAAATGCTCAGAGGTAAAAACAGGGTTTAAAATATTGAAAACCACGGAGTTGGTTCGGGCGCCAAAAACCGAACGTCGAAAACCGAACGCCGAAAGCCGAACGCCGAACGCCGACTTAGGTGGTTTTGGTTCTGAGCAAGGACCAGGGATTTTTAACAATAAAAGAAGTCATAAAAAATGTTTGTTTTGATGCACAAAAAATGTTTTATGGTTTGTAAAAGTTGTTTTGACTTTTTGAGAACCGAGACTTGAATAAATTGTCGGTTTTGATCACATAAGACCGACTCGACTAAGTCTTCAATTCTTGATCTTGTCCTTGAGTCTTTTAGGTCTTGTTCCAAGCCATTCTTCACGCCTTGAGTTATTCAACGAAACTCTTCATATCCACGGCGGTTTGGCAATTATCAAAACCTGTCAGAAATGAACACGACTTTAGTTTATCGTACAAAGTGTGTTCCAACAATTTCCCCCTTTTTGATAATGGCAAACAAGACGGGGATATGCATAGGATTTTGATCTTTTTTGAAAAAAATTCCCCCTTAATATATGCATAGCCCTTATCTTCCCCCTTTTGACATTAACAACAAAAATCATAAAGATTTTTATTAATTTAATTAAGGGAAATAGCGGAGTACATAACGAAAGCATATTAAAAGATGATAAAATAAGGAAGAGAAGAAAGTAGAGCTAGAGCTCTAGAAATCCGGGGAAAGATCATTGAGAAGTTGTTCTTCGTCAATGTCTTCTTCTTCTTCTTCATCTTCATCACCATCATCATCATCATCAGCTTCGTCTTCCTCTTCTTCTTCTTCTTCCTCATCGTCCACCTCGTCATCTCTACCAACGTTTTGAGTCCCACTTTGTTCACCTCCGAAATTCGGTGGAGGAACGTAAGGGACCATTTGAGCGTACGGGTAATTGACAAAGCCAAAATACCCGTGAAGTTCAAGGCTCAAGGTATTGACGTTGTGTGCCGTTTTGGAGACGTTGGTGTCAATCCGAGAGAGAGTGGCGGTTAAGGCTGCCATTTGCTCGGCGAGAGAAGGATTGGTCGAAGTGGTGGCGGCTGAGGCAGTGGCTCTCGGTTGTCGGCGTGGACGAGGCTGTCGAAACGGAGTCTCGTCGGTGCCCGAGTGGAAAGAAGATTCATCAATCTCCCAATGCTTTGTCCCCTTTATCTTTGGCCCAACATCGGTTTTGATGTTGTATTCTTCAAGAATTGCCATGACAAGGAGGGCGTAGGGGAGCGGCCGATTGTCGGAGGTGGCCGTGAACATGTGAGTCATCACAAATTTACACCAATTGAGATTGGCGTTGTGAGTCATCGCATGAATTGTCTTCGTGTCCTCCTGGGAGAGAGTGGTGTGATTGAACTTCCTGGGCTTGAGAATCCGTGTCAAAACATAAAAGATGAATCGAAACACGGGACTCATGGAAGCAATCGTAGGGCGCCGCTGTTGGGGAGTGGGTACGAAGTGTCGGATGCCCACTTCCTCCAAGAGAGCGGTCTCATTGAACCGTGCTCCTTCTTCTCCAACGTAGAGCCCGAGATCCTGTCCGTCCCAACGAAGCCCGGTGAGGATTTGAATGTTCTCCTCATTCAAATAGATGTCCACCCCGTTGACGTTAGAGATCAAAGCTCCGTCCTCATCCTTTTTCAAGTTCGAGTAGAAAGATCGAACAAGAAAGGGTTGATAATTGACCTTCTTGATGTAGAGGAGATCGAGGAAGTTTCCACGTTCGAGGATAATCCGTGCCTCACGTGGAATGGAGTCATGAATGAAGCGGGCTGTGGAGAATCGGGGAGGGAGAATTTCCCGATGCTCAAACTTTTCGGAGAACCGCGTCGCCTCTTCGCGGTCGTTGAACCAAAGGAACGACCCGTCGAGATACTTGTGCGCCGGTGGTGGAGGAGCCGAAGAGGAAGCCATGTTCTTGCTGGTGCGGGATCTTTTTCTTTGACCTCCTGCCATATCAACAAAGAGTAGGGGGCAGAGCAAGGCAAAGAGAAAATTGCAGAAATTTGGAAAGAAAATGAAGAATAGGAGCAAGAATGATGAATTGTGATGAATATTTGGAGAAAGTATGATTTGAGTGAGTATAAAATGAATAGAGATCACCAATTTATAAGGGAGTGGGCTGGAGATCCGTTGGGGAGTTCAAAACATGCATTAATTGCTCTCCAAACGTCTCTGCAACGGTCAGATTTTTAAAAAATCGTCATTGATAATCGATTTACACTTCCTGTAAATCGATTATCTGAGGCTTCAGATTCTCCGCCAAAGAAACTGCAGGCTTCAATAATCGATTTCTGCCTTGGTTGTAAATCGATTGTTGGAGAGGATTTGCCTCAAATTTCTGAAGGCTTTAATAGTCGATTTACATGTTTTTTGTAAATCGATTGTTGATGTCTCCAGCTAATTTTCCTCAAACTCCTGCAGGCTTCAATAGTCGATTGTCATGTTTTGGTAAATCGATTGTTGTGCGCCTGACTTCAAATAAAGTTCTGCAGCTCCATATAATCGATTATCATGACTTGGAAAATCGATTGTTGAGGTTTTGCGATGGATTTGCTCCAAACTTCTGCGGACAGTCATAATCGATTATCTCAAGGTTGTAAATCGATTTACACTCAGTCCTGGGAACTTAAAATCGATTTCTTTTGTTCCCTCTGGCTTTAACACCTACAATGAAAACATTTTGGTACCCGTTTGATCTTTTGGGTCCTTGAGGATTAGTAACACGACTTTTTAAACTAATAAACACACGCACCCATAATCACATACACATGGTACGCAAACACACACACACACACATGTACCAACATGCGTGTTTAAGTGTTACCTTGGCCAACTCGTCCTTTTGCGGTTGGCGGGTTCCAGTCTACTCAAACCAAATGTCTATACCTCGGTTTGATTTGTGTGGGTTCCAGAAGTGGTATGTGAATCTTCTTCTTTTCATCATAATAGAAGAAGTAATATGGTTTCTTTTGCGTTGATTCCTGCAGGGATTGGTTAGAGTTCGAATATCCTTTTTGAAAGGATTTCATTCGGTTAGTTCTATGCACAGTGTGTGTTTTGTTATACGTGTAATGCCTATGCTTACTAAAACACACGGGTGCTATATGACCTACCCTATTGCAATAATGACAAACAACATTTGGATTATGCATTCTCATAGGTTGATAATAGTTGCTAGGTTTTCTAACTTGATCATTGTTCATCCTAGTGTTCTTTCTAGGTAGTCTAGTGTTCCTAATTGTTCTAGGTTGTCTATTTTCTTGATTTTCATTATTCCTAAGTTGAGCTTTAGGTTTCCTAGATGGTTGCTCAACTTTTTCCTTATTATTAGGTTCATTTTCAAATCCTAAGCCATGTTTAGTAAGTTGCAAATTATCAAGAACATCATTAAGGTTTTTATGAGAAACACCAAACTTCTTCAAAGTTCCTTCAAGTTTT